AATTGTCATTAAATATTGATAAAACTAAATGGATTCTTTTGCATCCAAGTGGTGAAAAACACCTGCTGCCAAGTAACTTGCCTTTTCTTTCTTCGGATAATATAATAATTAAAAGAGTTTTTGTAACAAAATTTTTAGGAGTCTATATCGACAAAAATTTAACATGGAAAAACCACATTGCTAACTTGTGTGGTAAAATTTCAAAGAGTGTAGGTATTTTATACAAAACAAGAAGCGTTTTTTACACACGGACATTTGTTAAGAAGCCTTCTTAACAAATTTTTTTCACCTTAATTCAATTATATTACGCTTTAATTTATTGTCAAATTATGCAAACATTGCATGGGGTAGTACAAATAAAGTTAAATTTAAACCTCTTTTTCGGCAACAGAACCATGTTGCACGCATTACAAATTTCAAGGACCGTTTTGATCATGCAAAGCCACTTTTCTATGAAATGAAAGCTCTTAACGTATACGAGTTAAATGTTTTTAATATTCTTTGTTTTATGTATAAATATAAAAACAACTTATCCCCCTTTTTTTTCCGCGACTTGTATTTGCAAAGAGATATAATAAATATTATGAGATATGATAAATATGAAAATTTAATTTTTTTTTTTTTTTTTTTTTTTTTTCAATTTTTGTCAAGCAACCATTTACAATTAAAGATAATTTTCGTAAAATATTTAGAAATATTAAATACAAGTACATTTCATTATTTATAATAGTTACAAGACCGGAGAACCTGAAGAAGATAAAGTCTTTTCATCAGTAACCTTTGATAATAAAAATTGGAAATAATCGTGTAGAAAAAATCATGTAAAGAATCGTGATTGGCAATAAGTTCGATTATGTTCTTTTTAAATTTTTGAGAGGTATTGGCTTCTTTAAGTTTACCACTCAGACTTGTAAAATGGTTCCATAGCATTGGGCCACGATAGGAAATGGCAAAGCTCGTAAGTTTTGATGAACGGAAAGGTTTTTTTAGATCGCGTGTTGTATCGGTTTAATGTTTTATGGAAAATATTTTCGAAAAAATATTTTCGGCGTTTTTTTTTGACTGATGTTGAAACATAAATTGTGTAATTTTGAAAATATTTAACTCGTAAATATCAAGTGCCCTCATGCTTTTTAGAAGAGGTTTAGCATTTGTGAAGCGATTTTGAAAATGAATAATGCGTGCTGCATGATTCTGTTGTTTAAGGAGACAGTCGAGTTTAGATTTATTTGTACTACCCCAAACAATATTGCCATAAGATAAATAACTATTTATGAATGCAAAATATAGTTGGGTTAGTGTAGATTTGTCTAAGATTCGTCTGGTTTTATATAAGATGCCAATACTTCTTGAGATTTTATTGCTAATATGATTTATATGAGCTCTCCAGGATAAGTTTTCGTCTATTAAAATACCAAGTAATTTATTTGTGAATGAGCGCTCAATATTGATGTTATTTATATATAGCATTGGTAAGGATTTTGGAATAGATTGAAACTTTCGTTTAGAATGGAATAAGGAAAACTTAGTTTTATCAGTGTTTAAAGATAAGCTGTTAGCGAAAAGCCAGTTTGATATTTGTTCTAGTTCATTATTTGCTATTTGAAATAGAGAGATAATATTACTGTGAGAATAGAATAAAGTGGTGTCGTCTGCAAACATAATAGTAGACATAGTATTTGATGCTTTATATAGATCGTTGACATACATTAAGAATAGCAACGGACCTAAGATGGAGCCTTGTGGAACCCCACATGATATTTTAAGTTTGTTTGTCTGAAAGCCATCATTAAGAGAAATAAACTGCTTTCGATCAGTTAAGTAACTGGTAAACCATTTATGGTATTCGTAGCTTATTCCATAATATTTTAGTTTTTCTAATAATATCTGATAATTGTCAAACGCTTTTGACAAGTCTAGGAATATACATAAGGTGAACTTGTTATGAGAAGATGCTTCGCTGATAACTTCAACAAGTTGCATAAGTGCATGCTCCGTAGAGTAATTTGATCGAAAACCATATTGGTTCCAATAAAGAAGATTGTTATCATACAAAAATACAAATATCCTATTATACATGATACGTTCGAGGATTTTTGAAAATACAGGTAATACCGATATAGGTCAATAATTTGTAACCAGACATCTCCTGATTTAAAAATAGGTGTAATAATTGCAACTTTCATTTTATCTGGAAAAACACCTGTTTTAAGCGATTTGTTAAAAATATCTAATAAAACATCTTTAATAAGTTCGTAGCAGTTAAACAACCATTTTCTCAGTAATTAAACAACCATTTTCTCAAACTAATTTTGGAAGATTTTTTATTTCATTTTGCGGACCATTTTTATAGAATATTATATAATTTTAAATACTACAAAGACATTTCTGATGAACCTAAGTTTGATTCTTTTAAACAAAATCTTAAAAAACTCGTTTTCTCCACTGAAAAATCTACTTATATACTTTAAAAAGTTGGACGAATTTCAAATTTGGTGTATATGTGTATGTATATATTTTTATTTTTTTACGGGAAGCTTATTGTAATATGTTTCATAAACTTTATGTAAATACGCATTTAAATAAATATGTTGCAATACGAATTTTACTGTTTTTTGATCATATTTACTTTTTACATGCAAGTAAGAATAAAGTTTACTTTATTCTTACTTGCATGTATAGTGACGTAATGTAATTTACTTTTGTTATCTTTTTACAGCAATTATTTAGCATAATTAATTTTAAACTCTCCTTTTAGTGCCCGGTTCCGTTATTATTTTGTCACGAAATTTTACTTTATTTTTATTATATGTTATTAAGTTTATATATATATATATATATATATATATATATATATATATATATATATATATATATATATATATATATATATATATATATATATATATATATATATATATATATATAAAAGAAGCATGCGTGTGTGTGAATATATTGCACATTCCCATTAATGCGTATGTCTATATATAGGTGTTCATGGATGTGTGCATATTTATATATGTGTGTGTATTTATATGAATCACGAAGTATATAACTATTTATATTTATCCCACGATATAAAAAAATCTTTTTACGGTACGAATCCTGGAGAAGTTTATTAAAGAAGTTTTTAAAAATGTACAGCTGATTTAAGAAACGGAGTTGAAAGCAGCCTACTAATTATAAATAATCTAACAACCATTTTTGAATTATAAGAGTTATCTACTTACGATTTGTAAAAATGGTTGAGCCTTTTGAACACAATAAACATTAAACGATGCGTAATATTTGCGGGAATCGGAAAACCCAACCAATTACTAAAAACTCTGCAACTACCAAAAGGACAAAGTGAAGTCCAAATAAATTACCAAAAAAACATCAAAACACCGAACTAGTTAAGTTTAATTTAAAATTCTACTAAGATTATGGTTTTAAAAACGGATCATGCTACAATTTAAGCCAAAAATAAGGAAATAAATTAAAATTACGAATTTGATTTTTTTATTCTTAACATTATATATTTGTTTATTGGGTTTTAGCTAATCTGACTAATATCAATTTCAATAAAATCAGTAGTAATTATTAACAGAAAGAAATTTATTCTAAAACACTGTTTTAATGATAATGTCTGTTTTAAAGATAATGTTAATCTGCATATATTTCAGAAAAGAGAACTTAAAGAACTTGTTTTAAAATGATATCAATTATAATATCATATATAATTTATATATTTATTATATATCAGAGCCGTAACCACCGGGGGGAAGGGGGTCTTTAATATGTAATATGGGCCCCCCTAATATAAAAATTGTGGTTACGACTCTGTATATATATATATATATATATATATATATATATATATATATATATATATATATATATATATATATATATATATATATATAATATCAAATTAAAAGTTATAAGCAATCATTTATTTATCACGTTTAATTTTAGCGGTTCTTGATGATAAGACCTAATGGTCTTCCTCGAGTGTCCACGTTCTTAGTATTGTTTATTAAACATTGTTAGTTTTACTCTTTTTAACGAATTTTCCAACTGTAATTTAATTTCTGAATACTGTAATAAAGAACAAACAAACATAATATTGTTAGTAAATGTTTTTTTTTCTTTTATTTAGGTAGAATTTGTTTTTCAACATCTACCATTTTTGAGTTTTTTTTTATTACTAAAGAATAATTACATTTTGTTATCATTACTAAATACATATGTTATCATTGGTTAAATAGTAGAACTTCCATTAAACATTTTATAAAACAAAAAGAAATAAGAATTTAACAAAAAAATTAAAAAACCTTTTATCTAATATTTTATCATTAGTAATTTATATCATTAAAGTTCCGAATATTAATTGTATTTGACGCGAGATTAATTGTTATCGATGAGAGAATTTTCAGTGTTGTTTTTCCCTTCTCTTTTTTTTTTAGTTATATCCGGGTTTTTCTTATTAAAAAAATTTTTTTTTCTTTGTTTAGCTAGTCAACTTGCTTCTGAATAAAATGCGACTGCTCCAGGAAAGCTCAGATGGGTTTAAACGAAGTTTAGCGCAGTTAGGTTTAGCGCAGTTGCTGTTAACAGACAATGAATAGTTGTCATTGCTATGTGTAACTAAATTACACCACATATTTTTTATGATTGCAGCATCACAGTATAAAAGTTTTATATTTACTTCGTATTCAATTTGATCTTATAACTACCACTTATTTTTAAATACTTTAAAATATTTTAAATATATTTTATGTAATATGCGTTAATATGATTTATATAAATGTTTTAAAATGTATCAACTGAATTTTTTTCAAAAAATTTTTCTTGAAAATATTGAAACTGGAAAAAATCAGCCTAATATTTTACATTAAATTTTAAACTGAAAATAATTCAGAGATATTTTATATTTTTGCAATAATTTGAGAGTATTTTTTATAACGGTAATCTACCATGTTTAGAACGGTAATCCATGCATAAATAAAACAACACACTTTGACGTCATGCATACCTTGATATTTTTGTTCAAAATTTACTGTAAATTACTGCAACCAATTGAATAAATTCAACAAAATAAATAATTAAAACAACATAACAAAACATAACAAAATAAATAAATAGAACAGCACATTTTGACGTAATGCATACTTTTTTTTTTTTCAAAATTTACTGCGAAAAATTACTATAACAAGAACATAATCATTTGCATAACCTACTTGTTTACTAATTTTAAATGTCTAAAAAAAGATTAATTTGATACATTTATTTGCCAAAAAAGTTGGGGGATAGATTAACTAAAAAGAAAAAAATTTGATTATACAAAAAGCGTTTATTACAAAATTTAATACGAAAAAAAAATTCCTCAATCCAAAAAATTAATTAAAAAAGCAAAGATTGTTAAGATTTACAAATTAAAAAAATTATAAATTTATTTATAAAAAATTTATATCTTTTTTTCTTAATAATATAAGAGCGTTGAATTTTTTATTTTCCTAACAGAGGAGCTTCAATAGTTAATTTAAAATCGTTTGTATAACGAGAACTCAGTTGTGATGGATCAAGTCCAACAGGTAAAGATATTTGTCTAGTAAACTGTTTCTGGTGTGTGTGGATACCATGCTCATTAGTACCTTCTGCTTTTGATTCACCATGTATAAACAAATTTTGTCCATCAATTCTAATTTTAATCTCATCAGGTTTGTATCCATCAACATCCAAAGAATATTTGAAACTTTTTTTACAAGTTTCATTTTGTTCTAAGACTTGCTTTGGATCGATATCCTTAAGAACTTGAATGTAAAGCATGCCATCTTGAGTAATTTTAGAAACTAAGGAATGAGGATTAATGCTACTTGGTATTGGATACTTACGATAAAATTCACAAGAATCAAAACCATATTCTTTTTCACTTTGATGTTTTCCTTTGATCTCAATAGTATGACCTAATTTTGAAAAAAATATAAATTTTATAATTTTACTGCTCTCACTATTTGTTTAATAGTTAGTACCTAAACATATTTTGTAAAATATTTTTACATATGTTTAGTACCTAAATATTTTTTGTAAAATATTTTCCACCCCGTTGCAAAACATTTTTTTATATTACTTTAATGAGTCTTATAGCATTCTCAATTGATTCCTTGATTCATATTAGAACTTATAGAAAAAAAAAATGTTAACAATTAAACATTATTATTTGAAGAACTTTTTAAACATGAATAAAATCTGCACCATTTTTTGATTATAATGTAACTAGAAAAGAAAATTGAAACAGTTCCTTATGTGGCCTCAGCAAACACCAACAGCACTAATTGGAACACTTTTTAATGCATAGCATATTAGTATAATTAATCGGATATTTTTACAGCAGTTGATGGGATCAGCCTCTCTGAGAGCTACTATATAGAAAAAGAAACGTATTAATTTAATATTAGCTGACCTCAGAACCATTAAATTAAGTTGTATCCTAACTAGGAGATAACCGAATTGCATAGCTACTACCAAGGAGGCATAATCAAATAACCATGATAAAGATCAAGAAGATCCATTGTTCAGCAGAAAACAATGTATTACAGGTTTACATATACCAGTCTATTAAGTAAATAAAGGTGCAAGGCTCATGGCCTATTTAAATTACACGGCCTGATTTGTTGCATTTTCCGTAAAAAATTAAGGGCCAGTTTTTTTACGGCTTAAGTATAAAAACTTAATTTTTGTTATGGTTAAGAGTCTTGTTTGCGCTATAATTGTTTTATTTTTATTTTATTAAAATGGCTTAATATTAGTTAGATTTTCTTTAAGTACTTACATTATTTTGTGCTAGATTTTCTGTTAACTGATTGCCTGCTTCAGTTTATTCTAATAACAAAGAATACTGAAATAGCCTTTCAGATAGCTATTTCAACACATATTAACATGCTACTAAAAATAATCTTACATATTGCTAAAACTACCCACAACTCTCCATTGGAAATAATTTTAAAGATTTGTAATTTTGCATTTATTATAATTGCAATTATTAAGTAGAAAACATAAACTTTTCTTTAAAATATTTACACTGCAAAACAAGGTTTTGCATTGTAAATTCTTTATTATGCTGCATGTCTCAAACATACAGCAATTAAAATGTAACAAATCAGGCTATTTATTTACAGTAGCCAAGAAATATCAAGCATACCAACTGTTTTGGAGTCAATAGCTGTAAATAAAATTCTATTTTTTTTCATTGCCAAATGAATGCTTATCATATTTCTCTATTTAAATAGTTTCGCAGTGGTGAAAAATACAAATTGAAAAACTTTAATATATTAGAAAAGTCATTGACAAAAATTTGGTATTAAGAGATTATTTGCTTCTTGTGGGTAAGGTGTACTTCCAAAAAGCAGCCCAAATTGGTAAACAATTTGATGAAGATTGGGAAAACAATCTTTATAAAGAATTTATTTTGTTTTTAAAATTGTAGGGCTTTCAAAATTTATTCTTATGTTTTGAAATCATAACCTAAAGTTTACATAACAGGTTTATGTTTGAAAAAAGAAATTGATGAGTGTATTACCTCAATGCACCAATCTGAATTTAAGATAAGAACTGTTGTTACCGATAACCATTCTCCAAATGTTAATGCATTTTTATAGTTTCATAAAGCATATACTGAAGATGGAAAATTATTAATTTATCATTTAGTTTAGAAAAGGAGTGTTTAAAACATACTTGTTATTTGATAAACTCAATTTTTGTTTTTTTCTTCTTATTGAAGTTACTGCTGGTTACATTGCAGGGAATATATTTCTTAAAGTTTATTAAAAGATCAATTATTAAACAAGCATGAAAAAGCAAGAAAAACTATTTATCAAGTCACATATCTTGGAAAAACTTCTGATAACAAAAAGTTAGTTCTTTATCTCTGGTGATAAGCTTGTGCATTGTATTATCTATTCACCTTAGTTTACCTCTTACTTTATTTCATAGCACTCTGATGATGTGCAGTTGTAATTCATCTTTACAATTGGAATCCATATTTGATTAAAAAAATAAAAAAATACTTAAAAAAGTTGATAATAAGTTTTAGAAGTGACATCTATCTCTTTAATTCTTCTTTAATTTGAAAATTTTAATTAAAAGGAAAGCAGAAAGGTGTAAAGAAGTTTATTTAAAAGGTTAGATTTCTTTTTTCGTGCAAACTTTTAAATTAATTGGTATTTCTAGTGAATATACAAATAATGTTAGACATAATTTTTATGTTTAAAAAAAGTTTTTAAGGTCAACGAGTCAATCTAGAATATCTTTAGAACCATTAATATAAAAATAAAAAAAATATATACAAAATATTTCAAGACTTTCAAAAATTGTAAATTAATTTCATAGTTTTGTTAACATAATGTCAATGTAACTAACTTTCAAGAAGAAAAGCCAAGTTTCAAACATACTAAGAAAAGCCAAGTTTCAAACATACTAAGAAAAACCAAGTTTCAAACATACTAAGAAAAAGCAAGTTTCAAATAGGATATACCTTAACTCTTTGTAAAACTTGGCTTTTGATAACTCTCAAAAAATATTTTTTTCATGTTATAATATATATTCTCCAGTAAAAGTAAACAAAAAATTATAAGCTCTTTTATTTCCTTAAGGAATATTCTATTGTCTAAATATCTTTTCAATAGTTAAAGTAATTTCAGCACTGAGCAAAGTCCTGACTTAAACTGCAGTGCAAAAACTTGAGATTTTACAGATCTGGAAATTAGGATTCCATAATATACAACAATTAAATCAAATTATATAATACAAAATCTTGATAGGAATATTAAATTAAAAAAAAATTTTAAAAGATAGCTTGTAGTAAAAAGGAAGATTTTTGATGTTTTTACTTTCAATCTAATTTAAAATAATTGTTTCTATTTTTAAAACAACTTATCAAACCTCAGTAATTAAAAAAAGACTGCAAGTGTCCCCTGCAGCCTCAAAAAGAAGTTTATAAAAAGGTTAAGGAAGTTTCTCAGTTTTCTTATAGGTTTCATTATTCAGATTTGCTGTCTTAAATTAAAACATTGTAATTGTCAGAAAATAAACAAATAAATTATCTTATGAACCATTGATCTTATGACTATTCAACAGTGATATTTGCTTAAGACAAGTTATTTAATAAAAAATAAGTTATTTAGTAAACCATTAGATAAAAAATAATCCATTTATTCATTTTTTAAGTTCAGTTCTTTTCTTCATGTTTCCAGTTGTTAATAGGTGTTAATAATGCTAAAAAACAAAATATTTTAAAATAATAGATTTTGAAACAAACCTTCAACTTTGACTGTCACTTCCTCAGGTTTATAATGTCTTACATCAAGTTTAACACGAAAATCTTTTGTTGCACTGTCTTCTTTGTGGTGTGATATATATGGTTCATGCCCTACAAGTTCTTTATACAAGCGATCTCTCTCTTTAGTACTTTCTCTGCGAGGAGTTGATGGTTCATTGTCTGGTGATTTTCTTTCATAAAAGAGTGGTAAATATCTTAATGGAGGAAAAGTACACTCTTGAAATTCATCAAAGGGATCTTCAGTAACTTCAATATTGTTAGCATCATATGCTGGTATTTGCCATGCCGCCATTTTTATATCAATATTTGTTACTACCTGCTAACTGAAAATATAAATGTTTTGATCAATATTATTTTACATAATTACCAATAATATTGATTTTTATAGCATTTATTTTAAGTTATTAAATCAATATTTTTGGTGTTATTAAAATGTTGTGTTATCTCTAAGAATAACATTAATAATATAATTTATATAATAAAATTGAACATAATAATAAAAATATTATGTTTAATTTCATTACTATTATTATTATATTTATCTTTACTATTATTTTTATTATTATTGTTATTATTATTAATAAGGCAATTTTATTAAACATTTTATGAAATTATCCTTTATATATATATATATATATATATATATATATATATATATATATATATATATATATATATATA